GATGACCTGGTGAGGAGGGTCAGGATAGCTGTTTTTTGCTGTGCTTCCAAGTTTTCTCTTCCTTTCCTGTTAGCTCAGTGTCTGCAAAGTTATTGTGTTGATTTGTTAACACAAATATTACTGTATGCCACACATCATTCCAGTGTTTTACAGCTTCTTGATGTCAGAGAACATGGTTTACTAGCTTTGATGATAATCTCCAACTCCATCAGGTTCCATAAAAATCAGGTGGTTTGTGACCTCCCAGTTGGCTCAGATGGTGAAGAATCTTTCTGCAATGCGGAAGACCCAGGTTTGATTCCTGGATCAGGAGGATCCTCTGGAGAAGGGCATGGCAACCCACTCCAGCATTCTTGCCTGGAGAATTCCATGGACAGAGGAGCCTGGTGGGCTACAGTTCATGGGGTCACAAAGAGTCAGACATGACTGAATGACGAGCTTTCTGACTTTGTAAAGAAAATACTTGTTATGTGTTTGAATAGATATTAGATGCACATGGTATAAAATCCCACAGGTACAGAGTGCGGTGGAACGCCTCCTTTCCACCCCCTACCCCAGGTTCCCTCTCTAGAAGCTCCCTCACTATAAGCTCTTTGTTCTTAGGTTTCTTTGATAACTTAGGCCAAACAGATTTTTAAAAGCTACTTTTGAGCACCTGCACACCAGTGATTCTTTAAATAAAAGAGCCACCAATTTTATTATTTTGATTTTTTTTTTGTTAGTTTATGTCTTTGTTTTTCTCCTGACCACTCTGAAATGTCAGAGATTCAGGTCACTTTGCAGAAGGAACTTCTACAGCAGCTCTGGTAATTAATGAATAGCTTAGTTTCTAAGTTCCCTGAAGTCTGAGACCATGGTTCACTAACTTCGGAGCTCCCTAACCAGCCACCATAATTACTAGAGACATGCCAGCATACATACATCAGGCTCAAGGATAACTGATACTCGCTGTAATCTGGTGCTTCACAGCCTCTTCTCCTACAAGGAGGTAGTAACAGTGTATTTTTCTTCTCAACACTAGATTCCTGGTGTCTTGCTAGTTCTGGCACACCCACCCCATGGCCCTCTTCCCTGTTGATTGGCTGCTGTAGTTTGTGAAGTAACTGGTAACAGGGAGTAGTGATGTTTGTAGTTGGCAAGAGAGACTGTGCATTTCTGCTGTTTGAATCCTGCTTTTGGCAGGGCTTTGTGACCTGGGCTACCTAGCTAAACCCTCTGAGACTTAGCTCCCTCATCTGTGACGTGGTGATTTTGACGGGTTATTTTGAAAAGCAGATAGTATCAATAACCTCAGATATGCAGATGACACCACCCTTATGGCAGAAAGTGAAAGAACTAACATTCAGAAAACTAAGATCATGGCATCCGGTCCCATCACTTCATGGCAAATAGATGGGGAAACAGTGGGAACGGTGGCTGACTTTATTTTTCTGGGCTTCAAAATCACTGCAGATGGTGATTGCAGCCATGAAATGAAAAGACACTTACTCCTTGGAAGAGCCTGTATAGGGTACTTCCAATACCTGGCCACCTCATGTGAAGAGTTGACTCACTGGAAAAGACCTTGATGCTGGGAAAGATTGAGGGCAGGAGGAGATGGGGACGACAGAGGATGAGGTGGTTGGATGGCATCACCGACTCAATGGACATTGGTTTGGGTGGACTCCGGGAGTTGGTGATGGACAGGGAGGCCTGGCGTGCTGCGGTTCATGGGGTCACAAAGAGTTGGACACGGCTGAGTGACTGAACTGATACTGATGTATAAAGAGCTAGCACTGTGCCTGGCATATGAAAGGCATACAGTAAGTAGCAGTCTTGTTACTGTTGGGCTCGGTAATCATTTCATGCATTCATAAGAAGGGTGAATGTGTATGCTAGGGAACATCATGGCTCAGTAACTGCTGAGAAGGAGGGTTGATTTCCTGCTCATATTATAGGTCTCTATGGTTCTGTCTTTGGCCCTCGCTTTTGAGACCCTGCGCTTGGCTGCCCCTTGTGGCACTTATGTGGCATATGGAAGGAGGATAGACAGGTCTATCCACACAGTGGTTTTTAAATCCTACCCTTGTAAATAAGCTTCCATGTTACTTCCATTCACATTTCTTTAATACGGTTGACACTGGAGTGGGAAGTATCATTTTTCCAAAGGGGCAGAACCAATAGGGGTAGGTCTGGTAGTGAGGGGCAGCAGATGGTAACAGTCTACCTCAGTGTTTGTCGGAGGGTCACAGTTATGAAACCAGAAGTTCATCAAAAGCTGAGAATTGAGTCACCTGATTTATAAACCAGAATGCCAGGTTTTTCCTCTGTAGTGAATAATATATCTGCCCTGGGTACTAGGCGTTAAGAGCCTGTATAGGGCAAAATTTTCTTGATGGTGGATTTGCTCAAAAGACTAAATTCTAAGCTAACAGGTTATACAAAGATCACAAGAACAAAAGTTGGGTGTTATCAAAAGACAATATCCAGAATATACTGTGTTTTAAAATCCAGGTCTCCTTTTGGAACTGTTACTGTGCAAAGCCCAAGAATGAATTTGAGTGATGGCAGTGTAGCCCAGACAAGGCGGAGATCATGATGATAGATTCTTGCTCTTTTTAGGCTTTTTACTTTTTAACAGCGAATTTTTTCTGGAGAAGGAAATGGCAACCCACTCCAGTACTCTTGCCTGGAAAATTGCATGGACAGAGGAGCCTGGGCTACAGTCCATGGGGTCGCAAAGAGTCAGACATGACTGAGCGACTTCACTTTCACTTTCTTTTCTTGTCAGCCACTAATTGCATCATCTCATGACTTGTTATAATTATTCTCCTTTAAGCTGTCTGCTTCTTGAATAATGACTTTATTATTGTAATTAAGTATTTTCAAATCATGGTGATTAACCAGTTCTACCCGCAGTGTGTTAATTCTTGCTGCCTTTGGTTTCATAGCAATTTTTACCACCCTGGCCCCAAGATTTTGAGTATTCTTCTCTTTTTCTGCTTAAGCTGGGCATTTGTTGTCTGATTGGCTAAGGCAATATGACATAATAATGTCAAGAAAGAACCTATTATGAAAGCAAATTAAAAATATATTTCTAAATCAATAAAAAATTTTGCTTTGTTTTATCATTTGTTGAGTAATTTAATAAACTGAGTTTGATTTTTTAAGCAATACAACTATGCAAAACAGAAGAAAAGATTGTACTTTAAAAGCCAACAGCATGGAAAGAAAACATTGTTTTTTCCCTGTTTAGCAAGCATAATTTTGATAGCAATATCCAATATAGATGGCAGACAAAAACCAGTAAAACTACAGATTACCTTAAGGCTGTTGCTCCCCAAACCCCACTGTAAATACTGTATAGTATTTGAAGAATGCAGGGAGCACTCAGCATCATTTCATCTACTGGTGTAATTTATCACCACACTAGTTTAAAGGAATTCTATGCAGCTGTTTAAGATTCAGGTCTATTTACACGTATAGATAAATGGAAAAAGATCACCCACTTGTATTAATAACTGAAAAAATGCAAGGTCTAGAACTAAATACAGTATGTTCCTATTTGTGTAAGAAAATTTTTTCTTTGTAGAAAATATGTTATGTCTTTGAACACAAAGTTTTGCTTGTTGTGTAAAGAATTCTGTAAGGATAAAAGCAACTTTTACAATGGTTGGCTCTGAAAGAGTAAAAAAAAAATGATTAGGTCAGAGAGGAAAGATACTTAAAAAGATCTTTTTAAGTGTTTGAATTTTTAACTCATGTGCATGCAGTTCTTTCAAAGCAAATTGGTTTTAAAGTGGCAGTTTTGTGTCAAACCTTTCACAGATTTTAGGAACTAATTGCTTTGTTTTGCTGCTTAAACTACTCCACTGACTATTAAAGGTACATACAGTGAAATGGATTAAAGGTCACCACAGGACCATGCACTCTCAAGAGATGTGGTGCAGAACAGTTAGATTGTGCTGTGTGGGGTAAATGACGGCTTGTCCGTCCAGTCATTAGGAACCATTGACAAAAACAAACAACTCCAGGATGAGTACAGACTATGATATTTAGAACTACCTTGTGGAAATTGATTATTTTTTTAAATAAAAAGTGTGTAGTGTCTAAAAATTATAGAATAAAATGAACTTTTAATGCACTTACTATTTTTAACCCTTTACCTACTGGAAATCTAAATCAGGATATAAAGGACAAATGTTGCAGTTATTTGTTTCTAACATCTACATTTCTTTAGTCATGATGATACATAGTAAAAATCACAGAAGCCTTTCTCTGAGTATGACAGTTATTCATACTGTTCCATCCAAAATAATACAAAATTCATAATACATTAAATTTTAATTTAGCTAGTAAATTAAAAACTATAAAACTATTAAAAACTAAATTAAAAAAAAAACTATAGGTTTTCTTTATATGTATATCCTCTTGAGGATTTAAACCAAAGGGATTCTTTTTTTTTAAAAAATTCATTTATTTTTCATTGGAAGATAATTGCTATACTATGTTGTGTGGTTTCTGCTACATATCAACATGAATCAGCCATAATTATACATATTTCCCCTCCCGCTTGAACGTTCTTCCCACCTCCCACCCCCAAAGAGGTTCTTTATTCCTGATTTTCTTTCTAAAGTACAGACAGTTGTTCTGTTTGGTCTGGGCCCGAGTCATCCTATTTAAGTGAGAAAGGAACTGAAGTTTCTATATGCTTCCCCCCACTAAATTATCAGTAATCATTCCTTATTATTGTCCAGATTATGGTCTTACTGTCAAATTGGAAATGAAAGAGAATAAAATATAATGCACCAGTTCATATGGGGCTTGGTATAAGATTTCACATATCTACTAGTTAAATGAAAGCATCCTGCCTATGTATTGTCTTCTTAGAGTCTAAATCAGTTACCTATTGGAAAGCTTTTCATCGAAATATTGGAATCAAAGATCTCAGAATCTGATCTCTGGGGTGAACTAATGTGCTGATTTCACTGTTGCAGGCAGGTCAGATTCCGGTGCTCATCATGTCCAGTTTTGAGGATGTGGACACGGAAGAGACAGTAACTTGTCTGCAGATGACTCTCTACCATCCTGGCCACCAGCAAAGTGGAATATTCCAATCAATAAGGTTTTTTAACCGAGAGAAACGCCACACCAGCGAAGTGGTGAAATTTGGCCGAAATTCTAACACCTGTCATTACACCTTTCAGGACAAACAGGTTTCTCGAGTTCAGTTTTCTCTACAGCTGTTTAGAAAGTTTGATAGTTCAGTTGTCTCTTTTGAAATTAAAAATATGAGTAAGAAGACCAATCTGATTGTGGACAACAGAGAGCTGGGCTACCTAAATAAAATGGATCTGCCAGACAGATGCATGATTAGGTTTGGCAACTATCAGTTCCTGGTAGAGAAGGAAGATGGACAGTCATTAGAATTTTTTGAGATTCAGTTTTTTTTGTCGAAAAGACCACTTCTGCAAGAAAACAACTGGCTTCCACAGTCCATGCCTGAGTGTGGCAGTTATTCATCCTGTTCCACTCAAAACAATTCTCCCATGGAAGTGGGTGAAAATGACTGCTAAATGCTGAAAGCTAAGAGAATTATGAAGGATGAAGAACTCTACTTGTTTTATAGGCATTCGACTTACTAAGCTTCTTAGTATTTTACTGTCATTTGTTAAAGTTTGTCAAGTTTGAGATCTGGTATTATTGTTTGAAGTCTGCAAATTGTGTTAGTAATTGAGTCACCTGTTGCATTGTTGGATGTATGAAGAATTTCTCTTAAGTGTATATATGTGAGCATTAATGTACAAAACGTAATGTTCATGATGAAGGAACAGTGTTCTCAAAATAAGGTTATGTTCTTTTCTTTTTATGCCTGATTTTGTTCCTATGTTTTATATTGTTTCATTTTGATTTGTATGTTATCATCTCTTGGTTTGGTCATATTACCTCACAGCAGCCATTTGTTTTTAAGGTCAAGGCTACAAGCAAATTATGATGTGTGTTTTAGCCTGTTGGTATTTATAGTACCAGAGTATTAGAACAGGGCATGTGTTTTAGTCTGTGTGCCATTGATGTTTTAATATGGGAAGACTTACTTATTTGAGCAATAATTCCTTGATTTTCTGTTTTTTATCTATAGAATTATAGTGTTTATTCCCAAGAATACAGTTCTCCTTTTCTATATTCAGTATCTGAAACTGATACTTTAAACGTTTTAGTGAACCACTGTTTAGAATTGTGTACCAAATTTTAAATATTTTTTTAATGTACTACAGGGCTTTTAACTCCATGAATTCAAAATTTTAACAACAGCTATGTACCTAATAAAGTCTAATTCTCTAACCATTTTCTTTGGACTCTTTCTGAAGAAAGAACTGTTTGTTGACTTCTGTAAGGAGGGATGCAGGCGGTCACCGGCAGAGGCCGTGAATTCAGATGCATCCTGCTGGGTCCTTCAGTGCGTGCTGGCTCCATCCTCCCTCTGTTCCTACCTCCACGTCGTGGCACGTGGCCAACAGGAGCTCCCAGATTTTAGACGTTACTGATCAGCCACCTGAAGAGAGCCTTACTCTCAATTCCAGTCCAAAGAAAAAGGGTCAGCTTCGGCCAGGTGCCTCTCTACCGATCAACTCTCCTCAGGCCACTGATTGGCTGCTCCGATCAGTGATCTTGTGGAAAGGAAAAGCATTTTCTCAATGGCCATAGTGGGTTGGGGTCTGAGGTTAGACAGTCTGGATAAGGTATGACATAGTTTGGCGGTTAGGGCAAACAAGTATATTGGTGCCTGATACTACGTACTGCAGCTAAGTTGTGAAACATTTTCAGTTCTCGAGGACTCATTTATCCCAGGAACTGATTTTTTTCTTGGGCTCTTTAAGTAGAGGGGCGTATTAATTGGTGCCAGTGTTACAGGCAGTGTCTTCTTGAACCTGCAACTTTATGACAAGGGGGGCTTTCCAATGGTGAAGTCTCATATGCTATATGATTATATAACTACATTCTAGAAGATTCTGTCTCTGCTATCTACAGCATTGACTGATCTGAGGAAGCATTCCTTTTACGCTCTGAGTGTAGTGTTTGTTTTAACTAGTATGCCTTGTAGAAAAGTTAGCTGGTATTTCATTACCAGGAGATAACTAGTGTTAACAATAGTTACATATGTTGTGTGTATATCTTTGGTAGCTGCATCTGTGTTATCTGGGCTTCCCTGGTGGCTCAGCTGGTGAAGAATCCGCCTGCAATGCCGGAGATCTGAGTTCAGTCTCTGGGTTGGGAAGATCCCCTGGAGAAGGGAATGGCTACCCACTCCAGTATTCTGGCCTGGAGAATTCCATGGACTGTGTAGTCCATGGAGTCTCAAAGAGTCGGACAGAACTGAGTGACTTTCACTTTCTATGTAATAGCCCTTTTTAACTTTTTCAGTTCTCCAGTTCAGTTCAGTCGCTCAGTCGTGTCCAACTCTTTGCGACCCCATGAATCACAGCACATCAGGCCTCCCTGTCCATCACCAACTCCCAGAGTTTACTCAAACTCATGTCCATCGAGTCGGTGATGCCACCCAGCCATCTCATCCTCTGTTGTCCCCTTCTCCTCCTGCCCCCAATCCCTCCCAGCATTAGGGTCTTTTCCAATGAGTCAACTCTTCACATGAGGTGGCCGAAGTATTGGAGTTTCAGCTTCAGCATCAGTCCTGCCAATGTTCTCCAACATCTGTTTAATTCCTTATAGTAATTGTTATGTTAAAACAACAGGTGAGGTTACTCTTTTACTCTCTAAACCCTGATGGAAACAATTAGATCTTCCATCTCAAGTGATGACAGAGGAGGAGTGCTTAAAAAGCTGTGGTTGGAATTCCCTGGGCTTCTAGCTGATACAAATTGTCCCTAAGTCCAATCACTCATCCTTCTACTATTCAACCTATATAAAAATATTTGGCCAGTGGTATCTTTTTAAGCAATGCATTTAGGGCAGCGACACTGGTGAAAAAACTAGGAAAGCAGTAATTTTAGTTGTGTTGCTGGTTTCAACATTTTGTTGTGGGTTGAAGGCCACTGAGGGACTAGAGCTGAGCCAGCCTGGCACTGCTTACTGAGAGACCATGTAAGATGCAGGGAAACACAACACCTCTCTTACCAGTTAGCGGGATCGCTTCTCAGAAGTCCGTATCAAGGTGGAAACATTTTTTTGAATGTTTTGCTCCTGGCTCTGCTGGGTCTTCCTTGCCGTGTCTTTTTCTCTAGTTGAGCAGAGCAGGAGCGACTCTGCGGTCGCAGCGCACGCGCTTCTCGTTGCGGCGGCCTCCCCTGTGGGGCACAGGCTCTAGGGGGTGTGGGCTTGAGCAGCTGTGGCACGTGGGCTCAGCAGTTGGGTGCACGGGCTGAGCTGCTCTGAGGCATGCGGGGATCCTCCCAGAGCAGGGGTCAGGCCTGGTCTGCTGCACTGGAGGGTGGGTTCTTGCCACTGACCCCCAGGGAAGCCCAAGGTGGAAACAGGAAACTTCTGAGGTTAGATAGTCAAGGTGAGGTACGACGTGGGAATTCCCAGTGGTTAGGACTCCTTGCTTTCACGGCTGAGGTTCAGTCCCTGCTTAGGGAAGTAAGATTCCCGCAAGCCACACAGCGTGGCCAAAAAACAATAAGTTTTTTCACCTTAGGTCAAAATGCCTTTTTACAATAATATCATTTTTTATACCTTTAAAACAATCTTTCAGTCATCCAAAGTAAGACAGACTTAGTCTAATAGTTAAAAAGCCTCCAAACTTCAAAAAATCCTCAAGAACAATTCTAATTTCCACAGAAAGGAAGCATGTGTAGTATTAAGTGTGGGCTCTGAACCATACTGCTTGGGTTGAGCTACCATTTCCTGTGCAACCTGTCGTTAGCTCTGAGCTTCAGTTTCCCCTTCTGAAAAAACAGTGCCTCCTGTGAAGGGTTTCTGTGAAAATCAACTGAACCGAAGTATGAAGAAAGCTTACCACACCGTTAGACACAGCACATGTTGTTATGAACAGCGCTGAGCGCAAGCAGGTCCTTGTACTGAATGGTTGCATATACAAGATTTATTACAAAAGACAGTACTGCTTACTTCTGAGTGTCGGAAATGACTCCTTTAGTTTGCAATATTAAAAATCTCACACAGAAATTTAATATCACTTTTACGATTTAATTTCATTTTCAGCTTTAGTACTTCCTGAGGATATGAGTCAGGTACTAGAAATCTGTGTTTTATATTGAACTCTTTAATGACCTCCTTTACTGCCGGCTAATTAATCAGAGGTACCAGGTAAATGAATATGGGAGAACACTATTAATATATTTGATATACAGTCTTTTTTAGATGTCTGTGTTCTAAAATTATGATTAGGACATCTTTAAATAAAGTAAAATGAAAATTCAGACCTCTACTAAAAAGATGTATTTCTCCAATTACTGGATAAAAAAATGGAAGCAGGTGTAATTCCTGGTTGTATCATTTTAAAAGTTCTAGCATCTGAACCCTCACCCAACTCCACATACCCTCCAGTTACCCCATTTCTTGCTCTGACAGCAACTTTTCAAATAAATTGCCCACACTGACCATTCTTTATTCATCTCTTACAAGATACTTCTCATTTTCCATCCTTTCATTTGAAAAAAGGATCACAAGCAACAAATATTCCTGTCCCCAGACCCACCTGATGCAGCTGTCCTTTCTCTCAGTGACCAAGTAACATTTGCTATCACTGACTCCTCTCTTTTTCTGACTCTGGTGACACCGATCTTTGGGTCCTCAAATTCCTCCCGTATCTGCTGCTTCTGACCCATTCTCTGTCCCTGACTTTTAAAGGTCAGCACTTGTGCTTCTCTGCCGGCTTCCTCAGGAGGATCTCAGCTGGAATAATGACTAACATTACTAGTCACCTCTTACTGACTCCTAAACTTGTACCCATTCTCTAAGCTGCAGACATATATCCCCATCACCTACTTGACATCTTCATTTCTGTTTTTTATAGATACCTCAAATTTAACTTTCCAATACAGAACTTTAATTTCCCATGCCTGTACCTCCTACTACATTTAAGTCAGAAACCAAGAAGTTATTGTCAAGAGTAGCTGCAGCTGCTAGGTCTGGCTGTCATCCTTCCACAGATTTGGCCAGTAGGGAGGCAGTGAGCTCAAAGAGACAGCTTATTACTCACAGACAGCAAAAGCAAGACCAGTGTGGAGTTGGTGACCCACATCTCTGGGCTCTAGGGATGTTCCTAGCTGACATTGAACGAGGGGGGCCAGATGACAGATGCCTTAAGTGGAGGGTAGGTCTGTTATTGAGGGGCCAACTGTAAACTCCAACCAAGCAGTTTTATTAGCCTACATACTGTACCTGTATGTGGCAATCCCATGCCACACTGGAACCAGCAAGTGGGATCAGAAATTGCCTCACAGCAGCCTTCTACAAGATAGCGAGGCAGATGATAAATGGCCCTGTGTGGCTCCTCTAAGACTGCCTATCTTGCCGTGTTCCAGGGAGGATCATAGGGCTTTCTAAGATGTGTGTCAGGCTATGGTTGAGTCTTGCTATATGGATATGCAAACTGAGCAGGTCACAAGGGCCCCATGCTGACTGCATCACCCTACAGTTAACAGGGCAGAGGATCTGAAGATGTTTTTCCAAAGATGACACAGATGGCCAACAGGCACATGAAAAGGTGCTCAACATCACTATCATTAGGGAAGTGCAAATCAAAACCACAATAAGCTATCACCTCACATCTGTCAGAATAGCTATTATCTATAACAAGCTGTGTAGATGTGTAGAAGAGGGAACCCTTGTGCACTGCTGTGGGGATGTAAATTGGTGCAGCCACTACAGAAAACAGCGTGGAGATGCCTCAAAAAATTAAAAACAGAACTACCATATGATTCAGCAGTTCTACTCTGGATACTTCTCTGAAGAAAATAAAAACACTAGTTAGAAAGAATATATGCACGCCAGCGCTCACTGTAGCATTACTTACAATAGCAGAGATACAGAAGCACCCAAAGTGCCCATCAATAGGTAAATGGATAAAGAAGATGTGTGTGTATCACTCAAACCGTAAAAAAGAACAAAGTCTTGCTTTTGCAACAACATGGATGGACCTAGAGGGCATGATGCTAAGTAAAATAAGTCAGGGAAAGGCGAATACTGTGTGATTTCACTATATGTGGAATCTAAAAAACAAAACAAATAATCAAACATAACAAAAACAGTGTCATAGACACAGAATAAACAACTGGTTCCCAAAAGGGAGGTAGGTAAAGGAGTTGTGGGAGAAGGCGAGGGTGGGATGTTTCGAGAGAACAGCATCAAAACAGGTATATTATCTATGGTGAAACAGATCACCAGCCCAGGATGGATGCATGAGACAAGTGCTCGGGGCCGGTGCACTGGGAAGACCCAGAGGGAGCGGGTAGAGAGGGAGGTGGGAGTGGGGATCAGGATGGGGAACACATGTAAATCCATGGCTGATTCATGTCAATGTATGGCAAAAAACATTACAATATTGTAAAGTAATTAGCCTCCAACTAATAAAAATAAATGGGGAAGAAAAAAAAGAAAAATAGGAGAGGGAGATTATGAGGTAAAAACTTCCAGTTGCAAAATAAATGAGTAATGGCTATGAAAATACAGTGTGGGGAATATAGTCAATAACTATGGAACAGTATCTTTGTATGGTGACAGATGATAGCTAGATTTACTGTGGTAATCATTTTGAAATGTATAATAGAAATACCAAATCATTATGTTGTGTAACAGGAAGTAACAGTGTTGTAGGCCAATTATACTTCAAAAACAACACAAAACAAAAAAGACAGATCAGATTTGTGGTTAACAGCAGTGGAGGGGAGAGTGAGGGTGAGTTGGAAGAAGGCAGTCAAAAGGTACAAATTTTCAGCTGTAAGATAAATAAGTACTAGGGGTGTAATGTACAACATGATAAATATATTAAAATAAATGCTGCTGTATGCTATATATGAAAGTTAAAACAGTAAATCCTAAGAGCTCTCAACACAAGAAAAATAACTTTTTCCTATTTAATTTTATATGTATAACATGATAAATGTTCACTAAAGTCATTGTGATAATCATTTCATGAGGTATGTAGGTCAGATTATTATGCTGCATACCTTAAACTCATACAGTGCTCTGTGTCAATTACATCTCAGTAAAACTGGAAAAAAAATCCTGTTGGTCTACCTCTGAAGTTAATTGACTGTGCATTCCTACAGCAATTATCAATCCAAGCCACCCCATGTGCCACTGGGAGTACCATGTATTCACCCATGCCCTCTTAAAGCCTCTTCTCTGCAGAGCAGCTAGAGGAATTTTTCAAATATGAGAATCTTATCACTGCACACTCTGGCTTACAAAAATTAGTGGCTTCCTATTAATACATCAAATACAATTCACTCTCCCTAACATTCTACCAGATATAGTAGATTCTCCAATATTTGCTGAATAAATGAATGTTATAGTGTTTTCTATAAATATATAAAGCAAAAAAAAAATGATATCCTTTTCTTAGCAGTTCAAACACAAACATTTTCAAGTTTAGTTCCATCCTGCTTTACTAATTCATTCCTTTTTGTCTTCAATAAAATAGCTGTGTCAGGAGTCAAAATTGTTGCATGTTTATGGTGTAAAACTAGTAATAATAAAATAATTTATTATTTTTAAGTGTAAAAATGTGTTTATTCACAATCTTTGAGAAGTCACCATTCCTTCAAAAAATTCTTTATGAACAAAATGCCAAGAAAAATTACAATAGTAGCTTATGCCAAACCAAAAATATACATCTTATGTATACAAACTTTAAAAAGCATAACACAGGCAATGTGAATATAGATTATCTTTAAAATATTTCCAATGACATAGCTACAACTTAAATTATGTTAAGAGACATAAGTAACAGCATTACCTAATATATTTACATATTTAAGGTATCATATTTATTTCTGAGATTAAAAAAAGGAGACAAAACTATAGATGTCATGGCCCAGCTGTTCAAATATTGAAAGGGCCACATGATTTTTTTTTAAAGTACAGCAAGAACTTTAAGTTACTATTTATATCTGGACCTTCCAATGTTTTTGAGAACATGCACTGTCATTGTTGCAAGAAAAAAAAAAAGTAAGGAAAAATTGAAAAAAGTTTGCTTACTAAAATCATACTCAATCCTCAGCAAAATCAAGACAAGCAATAGGGAGTGTCCTATATCGTTGGTCTTTTAAATTGATACATACACTTTAGAGCAAAAACAAAGTTAACTGTATATCATAAAATACAGTTATATGTTGATTTACTTAGCTCCATCCTATTAAAGCCTTGTATTACAAGGCAAAGCAAAGCTTAAGGAAATCAATGAGTCTTTGTATCAGAAAGGATTTTATTTACTTTGAAATACCCGTATTACCTTTTCTAGGTTTTCCTTTCTTAATAAACCATGCACAGAAATATGTTCCATGTAAAATCTTTCAAGACCATTCACTGGAAATATAGAATTTTTAAAAATGACAGCTAGAAATTTAATATATCAATTGACTAAATTCAACATTCATTTATAGACACAGAAAAGGAAGTGAAAAACCTAAGTATATATATCTTCTTAAATATCTTTTGATACTAACTTCAAGTGTCCAAATTCTGAAAGATTATTTTAATGTATCATATCCTTTGTTCAGACTGAATCAACATTGATGTACTAGGATATGCTGTAAGTGTAGGAAGAAACTGATGTTTCAGGCTTTCTTTAGGGTCATCTACTCAAATTAATTGTGCTTACTATTAGATGACATAATTTAAGTAAGTCATAGGAAAAAATAATGCTGGAAAAGGGAACACTATTCTCTCTGAATCTGGCAGTCCCTCTTCATGCTCCCTTCATGTCTGCTGAGAATGAACACAAAATACCTTAATATTTTCAGTTAGCTACTAAAATAGGATTAAGAAAGCATTTGAAGTAAAATCAACAAAACTCTTTGAAAAAGTGAAAAGCAACAAACAGTAAACAGGCTTGCTAAACAGTTAAATAAATTTAATTAGTAACATGACAGACCATTCAATTGTTTTGAAAAGCAGAAGGCAGATGATGAAATTGCACTTACTTCTGAAGCAGCTCAGACACAGACTATCATTCCTATGCCTTTCTCATAAGCATTTACAAAACAGTTTCTTACCTCCCCTCACAAAAAGGCTCAGCACAACCATGTATACATTCTAGTTGGTTTGTAACATTTGGTCATAACTGATAAACAAGATCACACAATTTTTTCCTATCGTTTTTGCTGATCTGAATCATATTGCTTTAGACCAGAATCGGACAGTTCTAATACAGGATTTACAAATCCACAATACTCGGAATTGCCATTATCATCCATTTCGGCACTAACAAAGTCATTCTCCCACTCCAGCCCATTGGAATCATCAGAGGCTGACGTAGGATTACTCCCAGTCTTCTTGCAGCTATACTTAAGTGCTGCCCGGAGAATGTCTTCCTCTGTTTTGGAACGTTCTCTCATTGGAAGCATTCGATTCATTCCTATTATATGGGCAGAGTTATTAGAAATCTCAGTGAGGATTTAAAAACTTGATTAAAAGACTGAGACTAGCAGGCTTGACCTGTGAATTAACTTAAAAAAACCAATCCTGGACTTCCCTGGTGGTCCAGTAAAGTCCAATCTTCCTTGGTTAAGACTCTTCTTAACCAAGACTCTGCCTGCCAATGCAAGGAACACGGGTTCAATCCTTGGTCCAGGAAGATCCCACATGGCACGGGGCAACTAAGCCCGTGAGCCCCAACCACTGAAGCCTGCATGCCAAGAGCCCGTGCCCTGCAGCAAGAGAAGCCACTATGAAAAGCCGGTGCACTGCAACGAAGAGGAGCTGCATCTTGAATAAAGACCCAGTGCAGCCAAAAATAAACGTAAAAATATCTTTCAAAATTAAGGTTCTCAAAAACAACAATCCTGTGGAAGACTTCTTAAGGGAAATGTTAAAGTCTAATCCTACAGTGAACACTAGCACTCAACAAAGGATGGTTTTGATGCAATATTGGTAAGATGAAACTTCTGAAAAGCTGTAAGTAAAGCAGAATGGACGGAGGATTTCAATTGCTATTAGTCTTATATGGCCAAATTAGTGTGTGGGCCAAACTTCTTTCCTACCTAGATGACAATTTCATTTCCCAGAGTTGTAATAACGCTAATGATAACAATATACACATTTCTAGTACTTACTAGGTTCCAGTTAACATTTTTTGCAAATGACATATATGAACTGATTTGGTCCTCAACCACTTATGAAGATACATAAATAACAGCATGATCACTATTCCCCATTCTGAAGCTGAGGAAAGTAGGGCAGAAAGAGGAAAGTGATTTACCTGAGGTCACACAGCTACAGGGGTGGTGGGGCAAGAATGTGATTCCATTGCCTTGGGCTTCAAGGTCTGTGCTCTTTTACTATTCTGAGTCTAGCATAACAAAATAGAGACATTTCTAGGGGAAACTGTTCTAGATCTAATTCTGAACAGAAAGAAACTCATCAGTAAAGGGAAAGTATCAAAAATCTTGGAAGAAAAAAAACATCATTTTGGCAGAATGAAGAGAGGGAGGACAGAAAAGAGACTTGAATTTGCGTGTGTAGGATCAACACTAGTAACAGAATTAAAATCAAGGAAAAGATATTATAAGACAGCAATCCCTAGACACATTCAACAGTTTTGTTTTCTGAGCTTAAAGAATCCAATCCTACAATAATAATAATTAAAAAAATATTTAATCTATCACTGTTATGACTCCCCCCAAATCACAGACTCAACCTAGCAAACTAAATCATCCTTGTAGACATGATAAAAATGGGAGCTGGAAATTAATATAATTTTGAGGATTTGTATTTAATTGAATAATACTAATACTATGTCTAACGGAAGCTGAATTGTACATCATAATGTTTCTAGTGAGTTCTGTCCTCTATGAAGTCTAGTTTAATAATTCTATTACAATGGCTTGAATAATAACCTCAAAAGTCATGTTATCTAAAAATTTAATTAGTATACAGTGAGGATGACAAAAGCAGCAATTAAAAGACCTGAAAAGTCTTTAGATCAAATTGAACAAGATGTTAAAGTAAAAATAAATTTAAAATTTTCTAATTGGACTCTAAATAAGAAAAATATAGGGCTGGAGAAATGGTGTTTAGTTGAGACTTAATTAATGCAATCTTTGCTAAAGTTATTCAGTTTCTCTACTGATAAAACTAATGGCTTGTCTAAAGGATATCTAAGGTCTATTCCATCTCAAAATTCTAAGAAATATTTAATGTTTATTATTTTCCTTAAAGTCCTGTATCTGGCAATTGGTTCTTCCTTTTTGGATTACCTATTTCTTAAAACTGGAGAAGGAAATGGCAACCCACTCCAGTATTCTTGCCTGGAGAATCCCATGGACAGAGGAGCCTGGACAGCTATAGTCCATGGGGTCGCAGAGTCGGACACGACCGAGTGACAAACACATTTCTTAAAATAAAAATAAAGGCTTGGGCCTTATTCAGTGTAAAAGCTTTAAACAAAATCCACATTTTAGCTACAATTTTGAGTACCTGCTATGTGTCACACTACATGCTGGAGGTTTTACATAAATTTCATTTAATCCTCACAATCATGTTTTCATTTGTTCAAATACTTATTGACTGCCTATTATGTGCCAAGCTTTTTTAGACCCTCAGTATATAACAGTGAATAATCATTCTTTAAAGAAGCTTTATAATTCCCTTTTTATGATGAACTGCAGCTTAGAGAGATTAAGAAATCTATCTTAAGTACTACAGCTAGAAAGACATACCAGTAAAATTCTAATTCACGTCTGTGTTATGGCTTTTGTACTACCAAAAAACCTAACAAACTTATTTATTTCAGTTCAGTCACTCCGTCGTGTCCAACTCTTTGCAACCCCATGGACTGCAGCACACATCATTATGAAGCAAAAGTTAATTAAGTTGCTCACAAGGGGGCAGTGATTCCTACTGAGTTAAGTGGCTGCATTACAAAAATCTTAAAATGAAAAATAACATTTTCTTTTTAAATCTCAAGAAACATTAAGAATTAAGCAACTTTCTAAATAGTTCACCAACAAATGATAATCACTAATACAATAAGAGTCTAAGAAATTTTAAAGACCTTGCATTCAATTCAGTTTAAGTAAAGTAAAAGACAAGTAGATTTCTATAAGTTAACACAAATTAAGTAAAAATTTTCAGGTAAAATTTAAACATAAAATACCTTCTTCATCTTCCCATTCTAGATCTAAAGATGTGCTGTCATCATTTCCACTAGTTGATTTAGTTTTGGTCATTAAATCACAACTGCTTTCTGTATTTGGTGTCAAAACTGTGGCATCTGATGAGAGTCCTAGAATATACACCAAATCCAATTAGATATGGTGACGAAATACTCCTTCACTACCATCATCTATTTTGCAATAATGATCTCTCTTCAAATAATAATACTCCATTTAACATCATAAGAAACAATTATTGAAATCATTACATTGGTAGGCTTCTGTTAGAAATAGTATAAATGGTTTTCCCCCCTTTCTTTTTACTCTTTGTCATCTAGCACAGTAAATACACAAATTTAAATGAATTACAAATTTTTCAAATATGATGAACTCAATGGAAAAAGGAGGGCCAGACTCCCTATACATAACTATAGAAATAGCCTGAGATTTTTCTTTACTCCAACTCCTTTTATTTATTTTACAATTTATTTTATTGAAGTATAGCTGATTTATAAGGTCATGTTAATTTCTGCTGTAAAGCAAAGTGATTTAGTTATACATATATTCATATTCTTTTCTACTATGGTTTATTATAGGACACAGAACATAGCTCACTGTGCATAGAGGAGGGCCTTGCAGTTTCCACATTCTGTGTGTAACAGTCTGAACCTGCTAGTCCTAAACGCCCACCCCATCTCTCCTCCACCCCTCCTCCCCCTTGGCAACCACGAATCTGTTCTCTACAGCTCTGAGCTTGTTTCTGTTTCTCCAACTCCTTTAGAAAAGTAAAAATAAAACTGTATATTTAAGAGCTAGTTATTTGGGCAACACAAATTGAAGGGCAGGAAGTTCGAGAAAAACAGTCAGGATCTTCCATTATCTGTTTAATGTGGCATAAAGTAACCTTAAAATGTACCCACATATTTTAAAAGACTTACTACTACTTCGAAAAACTTCATACTGTGACTTTATATTTCTCAAACAAGATTCAAAGTCATCTTCTGGTCCTGGACTGTAATAAAAGTGAATTTTTTTTATATATTCATAGTCAATACAACATAATGCAGGCTAAAGTTAAATGATGCCATTTTGATTAGAAAAGGTATATTCCACACAAATTCATAATTACTTACAATCAGAATACCCTAGTCAAAACAGGTCTTACTTTTCTTAATACTAGCAATAAACTGAAAATAATATTGGTAAGATTTTGGTTAGTCTTGAAGTCAAATCCAAAACTTAGCCATAAGTCTAACTTTATAATTTACATTACTGAAGCATGAAAGAGGTTCTTTGGATGAGCAGGAAACACTCCTGGAAATGTGACACTGAAATTACATCTTCTAAAAAATGATCACATATAAACTTTAAGAAAAGAGCTAAGGAAAACACAAACAAGCAAGGCATAAATAATCTATCCAAAGCTATTTCAATGTGTTATTACATCATATTCTATACGAAAGGTGTAATCATTCTTAGGAATGCAATAAAGTTAATTTAAAATTAATAATGATGATTTTCCAACATAAAGAAACAATGTTCTCAGTATCTTACAAGACAGTATCTTCGAGAAACAACTGTTCTTTTTACAGAGCACATACACACGAACATGTATACAAACATCCAGAGGTGAAATGCATTCTGTTTAGAAATAATATTTCCTACCACAAAGGGAAGAAGTATGTTTCATTATTTACCTTTGATATTCTCCATTGTTGGAAGCATGGCATCGCTGCACAACTCTCTGCCTTTCTTGCTTTGGAAACATAATGCAACACAAGATCACTCTACTGTAAAATTATATTTTCTAAACCTATTCATGAAATGCCAAAATTTTAAAACTTAAAAGTTACTCTACTGAAGTCTTTTTCCTAAATTCATCACTGTTCACTTCTATATCATCTTATTTAAGGGTGGAATTTCTCTTAATTTTTCAGTGTATAATCCTTACATGGTCAGAATATTCATAGGGTTATTAAAAATAACTTTAAAGATATATATTGGTAGCTTCCTTATTATACCTAAGAACTTCTAATAACTGGAAAGATGAGGAGCAAGAAAGTAATAGTTAAAACAGTATATGAAGTTCTATTCTGGGTGAGATGAGCAGCAATAAAATAAAAGAACTAAAAGATCTGGCTAAGTTTACTCAGAAATAATAAAAACAAATGATTTAGAAAACCTGTCAAGAGTTGTGGCTCTGACAGTTATTAGTTGTATGTCCCTGGCATGTCCTATATTTTCTGTTTCTTCATCTGTAAATTACAGACGGCTATAATACTGTCCTAGCAAATTCATAGGGCTTTTGTGAAAATCAAATGAATTCACATAATGTGTATCCTCTGTGTCAGTGTATGCTGAACAGACTGCGTGTGTTCCCATATCTATTTATTCAAGAAGAAAAGAACTCAATAACTCAAATAGATTCTGCACATGGAATCCTTTTTAGTCTTTAAAAGGCAAGCAGCAGAGAATTATAGTAGAAAGAGATGGTTAAATTAGAATCAGAAAATTATTTATTTTCTTAGTAAAAGGTAGTTAATTTAAAAACTTTTCCATTATTTAGAACTTACTAAACAAAATACAACTCCCTCATATAATCTGATTAATCTGTTAAAACACCAAAAACAGGAGAAAGAGAGATAAAGAGCACATGTCACACAGAAATCACAGAGAGACATGGTACATGATTTTTAGTTTCTCTAAGCTACAGTAATTATTATTTGACATAGCCCTTGTAATCGCACTTCAGCTCGCACCGCACCAGAGTTCATGCGGGCAAAAGATGGCGGAAGACACAAAGCAGAAAACTGGCTAAGCAATGCCTGAGCGCTGGCTCTGCCATTTATTAGCTGTAGGATCTTAAGTTATTTAACATCTCTGTCCCTTGGTTTCATCACCTGTGAAATGGGGATTAAAAATACTATCTTTCTCCCAGGATTATTGTGAGGATTAAACAAGGTAAAACATATAAACTAATCAAAACAGTTCCTGCCAGGGCTCCATGAATGTCTGATATTAAGCTTGTCTGGCATTATGAGAATGCCATATTTGAATACCACATGGTAAATTATGATAAAACTGTTGTTTTCTCTGATAATATGTCAAGGATTTCCCAAGACCGAAATTGTCAATCTCCCAAAGACAAAAGTACGAAGATGAAAAATATAGTATTCCTATGTGGCGAAATCACTTAGCTTATCAAGAAATTGTTGGGGGCGGGAAAAAAAAAACTTCACAAAAATAAACTTAAAAATGCTGCAGAAATTGTATTTAAAGGTCAGTTTTGCAGTGTTTCATCGAAGAGTATATTTATTTTTCCAAAAGAATACTGAATTTTGGAGAAGTAAATTTCATCTTTGGGATAAACAAGAATTGGTGTTGTTCAGTCATTAAGTGGTGTCCAACCCTTTTGCAACCCCATGGACTGTAGCCCACCAGGCTACTCTATCCATAGGATTTCCCAGGCAAGAATACTGGAGTGGTTGTCATTTCCTTCTCCAGGGAATCTTCCCGACCCAGGGATTGAACATGTGTCTCCTGTATTGGCACGTGGATTCTTTACCATGGAGCCACCGGGAAGCCCTAATAAGAATTAGCTTCTCCTGATTTAAAGCCAAACAATGCTCAATGTCAAGTATAAAATTTGATGCTATTTCTAGCTGTTAAAGACCCACTAATTTGCCTTTAAAATTCCTAAGAGTATAGGAATAAATACATTCATTGTTAAACAAGAAGCCCTTGATTCTAGGGGAAAAAATGTCCCAACTAAGACCTGCCAGAGGAAACCAGGAGAAAAGCAGCCCTAATGTATGCTGGGGTCTCGTCCCCTCACCTCCAAGAGCTTTCGCTGCTTTGCTGCCCTGGCTGCGTCACGCTGGGCAGCGTATAAAGCTTCTTCTTCTAGTCTTAACTTCTCTTCTCGTAAGGCTAACTGTGCATGAACAAAACATAAGGATTAACAAAAATCAGAACCTGTCTGACTGCTCTAGAAATAAAATGCTTCTATTTATAAAATAAAAAGAAATTATTAAAAAAAGAATTGAGCTCTACAAAGCATAATAGAATTGAAATTTTTGTGGTTTATTTCAATTTCTCTTTTTACAAAGTATTTCAAATAGTATGAAACATATTACTGAATTCTTAAAAGTTGAGTTATAAAGTAGAGCATCTAGTTTGCATAAATAAAAGATTATTTCTTTCTTTAGAATATGCAGTGATCTTCACTCTCAACAATCATTCCAATGCCTATCACCCTACTTAGTTTATTGTTTGGGCCCTTGTTAGTTCAAGGTCTTCAAAACTAAGGTCAATCATATCATTTTCTACCAAAGTGAAGTAAGCTTTCACAAAGTTCATGTCACATTGATACATATGTCCTGAATTTTATTACTATCATTAAAAAATTAATTCCAAATTTAAGTTCCTGCCATTCATAGTAGTATACAAACTGCTTTCGTGATAATCTGTTGCAAGTCAAATCAAATTTAAAAATCAAATTCCAACACAATATTTTTCTTTAGCCTAATATTAGCATCTATTGTGTAGCTTAAGTTAATGCTGTTGAAATCATTAATTGGAAATAATTTAGTATTAAATAGGTACCAAACAGACTATTTTTAAATGTATAATGGAATATGACTAATTCCATTTAGTTTAATGAATAGCAAAACTATAATTACAGGCCATTTCTGTAAATCATTTATGACTGTTGGAAGTACTTAGTTCACTTACTAAGAGTAATTAAATCCAAGACTAACGAAAGATTTAAAAAAATGAGCCACTTATTGTGAAACACAATCATTTTTTAAAGTTAGTTTTAAACACGAAGGTTCAGGTAGTTTACCACAGTGCCTAATTGTGAGTTCAGAAGATCATTTTCAGAAGGATGTATTCTCTTCACTTACTGGCAGCATATGATTGCTGATAAATTAAACCAAACTAAATCAAATTATTATAGGCTGGAATAATTTTTTAACTTTTAAATAATTTTTATCTGCGTATATCTAAATTTAGGTCCAATGACTATTCATATGCAATATATTATTTAATAACACCTTTCTCCTATAAACAGAGACATGATAAAATATACTTAAGCAACATAAGACAAATTACCTCTTTTTGGATTTTCATATCCAGATCTTTCTGCTTTTCAACAATAGAATCATAATGCTTCTCTCTCAGGTCAACAATTTCTTCCTCAGTAAGAGGCCTACACAGAAAAATGAGGGAGAGAAAGAAAATGAAAAAAAAGAAAACAGTGCTGGTAAGTTCAAGTTTAAATAAAACATTCAAAAATCAGTGAAATTCTGAAATTTTACTGTTAACAATGTACTAAAGCAATTCGATGCGGATTTCAACTCAAGAGTAAAAAAAAATCATACATTCTAATACTTTTTTTAATGTACTAATTTGGTACATAAGTTGAAGATGACATACTATCAAGAGTATTTTTTAGCACTACAATCAACTTTAAAGAAATGTGGACTCCATGTACCTTTACTTTGGTTCTGGTTCTTTTTGACCATATCCCAAGATGTGCATCATACAATAGAAACCTCAGCACACTATACTCTTGACACCAGCCCTCATGTCACTCTCTTACCCACTGCCCTCCTGTTTATCCTGCTTACCCCCCTGGCCACCTCAGGCCCTTGATCCTTCCCTTTTCTCTCGTTTATCTATCCTGATCATCTTCTGGCTTCACTTCACTTACAACCAATATGGATCCCATGGCAAGCCTGAAGTACTTTCTTTCCCACACATTCACCTTCTTGCATAACCTTCTTTATGCCTTATTCACCCAGATTACTCATTGTCTGACTTTGGATCATCTCCAAGATTAGCTCTTCCTGCTGACTGCTGCTAGAAAAAAATCAAACATGCACTTGGGCCTCTACCCCTAGCAATAGCCCTCTACTTATACTTGGCCAACCTCCCCTCATGTACTATGCTAATTACTTCAAAGTCTTCACATACACACTCTTCAAGTTCCTCATGCAGACAGACTCTTTCCCCTTAGAAGTCAATTTCACCGCACCATGAGACAGGAGGAAACATGTCTCCAGCCATCCAACGCCCCATCTCTTGCCAGCCCTCCTCTTACCCAGGCCTGCCCTCCCCTCTCTCCTCCCTTTCCTCTGCAGGAGTGGCATTCCTCAATTTGCTCAGGGTCACCCACCCTGCTTATATTTGATTCACCCATCACTGGTGCTACTCCTGTCCCACCGCGCTCCAGAGAAGCCTGGGACACTGGCCATCAACCGGCACCTCTCTTAAGTCTGCTCTTCTTATCTGTCTTCACCTCTCTTCCTTGTGAAGACGGGGAAGAGAGGAAAGAAGAAAGGAGGAAAAACTTTCAATTGATCTATACCTGTCTCTAACCACTGCTCCTTCTCTTTCCCATTTCAGCCAAAATGTCTGAAATTAAGTCTGACTGGCAGCACAGCAGGCAGTTGCTATGCGTCAGGTTCGCTTTTATGTGCTTTGCATGTACTAATTTTAACTCTTGCAACAACCCTGAAAGGTAGATAGATAAGGGAAATGAGACAAAGACAGATTATGTCCAAGGGAAGTCATATAGTTCATGGCAAAGCTAGAATTTGAACCCAAGTAGTCTAGCTGCTTGCTCTTAACTACTGTGTCTCTCTTACCTCTGCCTTCTCACTTCCCGTTCTCCCATCAAACAAGGGCAGTCTGCCTCTGCCCTCATTACCAGGTGATCAATGGCTTCTGTGTTGCCAATATAATAGAGAGTTTCAAGTCCTTATATTATTACTTCAGTTTCCTGTGGCAGTGCTGGCTATTCCCTCCACTCCATCTGTTGGTCTGTCTCCACCTCCTTCCCTGGCTTTCTGTGCTCTCCCGATTGCTCTTGCCCATTGCTTCTTGATTGTCTTCTGAATTCTCTTCTAGTGTCCGTCTATTCAACCCCCAAACCTCTAAGCCAACGTTCCCTCTCCATGGCCCAACCACCCCGCCTCCTCGTCTTCTCCAGCCTTAGGTCTTGATAATTATCATGGTTTTAACCAGCAATGCGGATAGCAGTGTCTCCTCCTGCATGTGTGTCTCTCACCCTAACTTCTGCTGGGCTTTTTTTTAGTGTTTTGAGGTATTATTTATACAAAGTGAAAAACATGATTAGTAAAACAAGTTTCAGAATGTCATTAAGGAAGGAAAAGGGGTATAAAGTTTAAAAAATTCAAGGAAACGTACTTATCAATATTAATATAGTTTTTAAAACTAAAATATACGTAAAAACTTAGGTTCAATAAGAAAGCACTTAGGCACATTAAAATCTTCAATGTTCAAAACAATCTTTTCAAATGTTATTACTGATCTCAATCTTACAGAAAGAAATAACCAAGGTCCTGAAATGTAAACTGTTCAGTGCATCAAAGTAAGCAGATGACACAGTCTGGATTTTTAGAAGCTTATTATAGTTTATATAGAAGTCATTTGTTTAAAAAAAAACAAAACACCTTACCTATGACTGCTTCCTGGGCTTTCTCCCTGTACAAGAATTAATTAAACAATTACACAAATTTTACTAGCTGAATTCTATTTAAGGCAAGCCAATAAAATTTTTATTTAGTCAAAATATTTTCTGCTTATCTATCTTTAACAGATTTCATTACTAAAAGTGTTTTAAACAAAAAGCTTTAACATTTTACTATTTCTCAAAGGCAGAATTTACTTTAATATCAGTCTTAATTAAAAAGCAACCAATTGCTGAGCATTTCCTAATTTTTTAATAACAAATATTTACTATATACCAAATGAACTTCTGGGTTCTAAGATGGTACTAGACAAACATACTTGCTATGCTCTGATCACTTACAACTGATCTTCATTATTCGCAGATTCCAAAACTGCAAATTCACCAGTGAGCTAAAATTTATTTGTAACAGTAAAACCAATACTCCCTGCACTCTTGTGGTCATTCATGAGCAAGAACAGAGCAGCAAACTCTAAGCTGCCTGACATGCACATTCTCAGCGAAAGCAGAAGGTGATGCTCTGCCGTCCTGTCTCAGCAGTCTTGCTGTTTGCCCTGTTTGCAGCCTATGCAGTGCCACTTTTTTGCTTTTTTTTTTGTTGCTGATTTTGTTGTTTAAAATGACCCCCATGTGTAGTGCTAAAGTGCTATCTATTGTTCCTAATCACATGAGAAGTTATGATATAGTTTATGGAGAAAATATATGTGTTAGATAAGCTACATTCAGGCATAATTTATTAAGTGCTATGCATAGTGAGTTCAAAGTTAATGAATCAATAGTATACATTAAAAATAAGATATCAAACAGAAACACAAAACAAGGTTATACATTGTTAGCTGATAAAAGGTGATCAGAAGGTTGCAGGAAGCTAATGCTGTATTTTCCCTAGGAGTAGTGTTCTGGTATTCACTAATAGAGCATTCACGGCAACTTTATAGAACATAATTACCACGAACTTATGCATTTCTTACATATTTGAGCTATTCACATCCCACAGTTAAAATATATGACTAAGTAACTGCAGAAAGAAAATTCCAAATGGTCCACATCAACTTAGGAAAAAGCACTACAAAGTAGGACATGACATTCAATTAAACCAAACACTACGACATGAGAGAGGAACAGACTGGTCAGCAAACACTCAAACCAACAAAATGCACCTTAGGAAAACACAAGGAATCACATTAAAAAAAAAAAAGTAGTAAAATCTGAGGATGAATTGTATTGAAAGTTAAGAGAACTCTTACATTTAGTACTTGTCAGAAAATTTAAAAGTACCATGTTAAGTGGTTGTTTAAAAAATAAACAAAATTAAAGTTATTTCTGAAAAGGGAAAGAAACTAGATTCTATGAAACATTAAAACTATCTGGGAGAAATTTTACTGGGAAAACAAAAGGTTAAAATAAAAGATAGTTTCTCAAATATGTCCTATCAGATGATAATAAATATGTATTACTATTTTAAAAATGGATTTATACACAAATTAATTTGGGAAATGCTAAATTGGACAGGTTGAAATAATTTTTAACAGTTCTTGAACAATTTCTTTATTAGTTCCTCTCAGAATCTTTAATATGCTAATTTACACTGAGACTAGTATCCTGTACACACTATGGGAAATGCTGGGCTAAAGAATAATTTAAATTTGGTGTAATATATTTTCCTCTTTCCTCAGAAAACAAAAATGATAAAGAAAGACAAAACCTGCAATGCTCTTCTATATGCATTCACTTTAGAGATGTGAGAAGTAGGCTCAAGGAAGGTTTCATAATTTGCACAAACTCATATAATTAGTAAAGATGGAAATTAACACACAAAACTCTATCAGTGCCTAAGAAACATATACCATATTGCACTAATTCTAAAATGTATTTTTTTTCCATTTTAACATTTCTGTACTTGGGATGCATCTTAAAATTGATTTTTAGATGAGGTGAAATGTAAAAATAAACAAAAAGAAAACTGATAAAAAGATAATGGCTAAAGTCAGAAAGTGACTGTAAAACAAACATATAAATTCTACAAAACTATGGGTCAAAGAATGGTTTACTCTGGATCATTGAGGAATTTAACCTACTTAGTGGCAAAATGTTAGAAATATTTTTTTTAGAAGTTCCTCAAGTTCTACATAATACTCTAAAAACCTGTTTTAAATATATGTATATATAAACACATATGTAAGTTATAGATGACACTATATATATTATATACATATGTGGTATTTTACAGAGGCTATATGAACATATATAGTGTTAAATATGTTTCATCATAGAAAATTCTGAGTAATCTGCTAATATAAATTAGTAAGAGAAGGAAATAAGGGACTAAAAAGTAAAACTAAAAACTAAAATGTTAAAAATTCTAAAAGAAAACATAATGAAAATGTTAAAAAATAATTGTCAGAACTAGTGAGATGCTCTATGAGAACAAATTAGATTTTGTACTACTGTGAAAATACTTACTTCATCACTTTCTACTAGATTCTCAAACTGAAACAAGAAGAAAGAAAGTTAGGATGAATATTTGTCTAAGGTCTCACAAAACATTCCAAGTAGTAAAATGTGAGTATGAACTGTATTGAAGGTTAAGCGAACTCTTGTATTTAGTTAGGATATAATATTAAATATTACATTTAACAAATATTAATCATTAATGTAACCAATAATTATGTAATGATATAATTATTATTAATCACTACATCAATAACACAATATAATATTAATATAACATTAAATATTACATTAAACATTAAATATTACAAATATTAAATATTTGTCATATCTCACAAAAAACTTTGTCACTTTCATTTCAAAAATAATATACCTTTATTTTATAAGATAAAATATATGTATCTCTTTATACACCATTTCATTTGATTTATTAAACAAGACAGCCAAGACGAGAATAAATCATTTATGACTTATTAAAAAGAAAATGGAAAATCACAGCAATTTTCTACATAAATCAGAAACTTATAAACCAAAACTTTCATCTGAATTAGGCAAATTAACTATTTCATGGATCTTTTAAGTGCACACTGCCAGGATTTCCTAATTCACCTGAGTTCAGAAAGAATTAATACTATAAGTCCCTCAAGAAATAGAACTAAAAGATATTCAAGAATTTCTCTTATGTTTTTATTTATTTATCTATTCATTCATATAATGATTCACTGAAAATCAAGATGGTAGTTACTATTTCTAAATACAGTGTTTTTCTAGAAATACAAATGTAAAAATTTGATCATAATGTGATGAATGCTATCATGTCAAATGACCAAATAAAAGTCATGTTAAATTATATTATGAAAATATTTATACTTTAAATAGAAATAATATGATACATGACTACTTGAAAGAAAGGAAATGTATCTTACTGTTAATATTGTTTTGTTGTTTAAAGATCAGGAAAACAATGAATTCAAAATATTTTGAACTTATATTTTGTGCTGGTTTGTAGTTTATTAAAAAAAAAACACAACCTAATTCCTGGTTCACATGCTTCTTTATTTAATATAAAACGCAGTTTTGGATTGGCTGTAAGTTCTGCCACATGTAAGTACTGTAATGTAATCCAATTTCTTCACCTGTCTAAGCCTCTGATTCTCACCCATAAAGCAAGGTGACAGCCACCTGTTCAACAGAATTGTAGCAAGAATGTGCAATGACATTTATAAACTGTATGGTAAAGGCTGGTGCACAGCAAGGACTGAGCAAATGGCAGATTCTGTCATTATGTTTTACATAACAAAGAATAATCAACTCAGTGATTCTTTTTGTAGAGTTGCTTCAAATCAACTTGCTTTGATTCTGTCATGCCTCTACTAGGGCAGGCCAATGGTGCCTCTAGACTCACAGCCTACTAAGACACTGTAACTGATAGAAGAGTACCCTCTCCCTCAGTTGTGCAGGGCAGAAAAGACAAAAACAAAACACAAAAACACTACCTCTTAAGCAATTCTATTAGAAGAACAGGACCTTAATCTTCTGCAAACTTGTTTTCCCCATTCACACTTCCTCCACCACTCCAATTCTTCCCTTCTTCACCAGCATGAATAATATTGAAATATAAATAGTCCATACTAAATTTAGGTCCACATCCTTCCCCCTTAATTAAAAAAAATGTTCCTCTTGCCCTTCTCAAGGTACATTTATCCAATCAGATTTACAACACTACTTACCTCTATAGTTAAGTGCTCACCTCTTGAGCATGTTCTAAAATACTTGGATCTGGGAAGAAAAACAGAATAACAACTTTAAAAATTACAATTAATGCTAAAATTGAGTTACTATGGTTTATAATATAATAAAAATTATTTCCTCAAAAGCAACTTTAAATTCTCCAATATACAGCATCTTATATTTACAAAAAGGAAATATCGAACTTACAAAAGAATACAGATAGTCCAGATTTTTAAACGCAGTTTAAGTGTTTAGTCAACTCATAATTTTCTGTTGGTCCTAACAGTTACGAAACTTGTCATCGTGAGTTAATATAATATATATTTATTACATAGAATAGAATACAATTAAATTAAAAACTTTATCTCATTATTTTTATTGTATCAAGAAAAATATCTTGTTAAAATACTGGTGTGTTAAATAATCTATAAGAGCATGTTCCCAATTTTGTTAAAGAAAATGTATAAACATATATGATCCCACAAAACAACAAAAATCTAAACAGATACATGCGGTTTTGCTAAGAGTGGTTATCTCTAGATGGTGGGATTACATGCACGCATGCCAAGTCGCTTTAGTCGTGTCTCTCTGTCACCCTATGGACTACAGCCCGCCAGGCTCCGCTGTCCGTGGGATTCTCCAGGCAAGAACACTGGAGTGGGTTGCCATGCCCTCCTCCAGGGGGTCTTCCCAACCCAGGGATCGAACCTGTGTCTCTTACATCTCTTGCACTGGCAGGCGGGTTCTTTACCACCAGTGCCATGTGGAAAGCCCCAGTGGGATCATGTATGTTTATACAAAACCATGCCTGCAAAAATAAGAGGAAGAAAATGAAAAACAATATACTTCATATATACATCAACCAAATAATCCATTAAATTAATTTTTCCAACTGGGGCCAAATATTGACTTTAATTTCTCCTCACAATGTATACATATGTCAAATCACCATGATGCATACTTTATATGTCTTACAATTATGTCAATTATATCTGAATAAAGCTGAAATTTAAAAATTCTAATCATTTTTTCTGCTCCTACTAGTGAAACTCACATGCAGTCCAAGTAAGTGTCTCTTATGTAATACCTGCTCCAAAGATATGACCACATGCCATTAACTGTGTGTCTTCTAACTATTACAGTATACAACTTGGTACAGGTCAGAGCCCCTCAAATTCCTTTACTATTGCAAGTGCCTGGAAATTTTAAAACTTTCACTTAAAAGTGAATCCTGTTACAAGTGAATCACTTATACGTGGATCCTGTTATTGTCGCCTAAACTGATGGCAGAGAACACCCGCCATCCTCCCATGGAGATCCAAACTCACACTGTGGGTTCCTAATGTGTCAGGATTCTTTAACAGAAAGCACCCCTTTGGGAGATGGGAAAATCTAGGAGTTAGGACAGGTCAGAATACTTTGTATTATGTGTATACGTGTGCAGAGGTGGCAGACAGGTTTAGTAAAAAAGAATGGTATATTACCATGACTAACTGTTTATTATCATAAAGAATAAAAAATAATTTTTCCTGTACAATCTTTATTTGCTAACAGATGCAAAGCAGTTTTATTGCCCATTAAGAGATATCAGTAAAACCCAAAACATGTGGTATTATCATAATAACATTATTACCATAATAATAATCACACTACCATAATAATTCATGACACATATGCAGTGTAAACAAAGCCCTAACATTCCAGGCATCTAGTGCCCCCATTCTTCTGTCTTTCCCATTTCTCAAGTAAAAACAGAGACGAGTTGAGTTTCCCGGTAGCACTGTCTCCTGGTATTAGGACTTAGGCTTAATGTGCTACATGCTCTCCCTCAGCAACCATCACTCTCTTCCTTTAAGGAAGAATTTGTTTCTGACTATATGGGGAATGAAAACACCATTATTTCCTTCAAGTTAAGAGAAAAGGTGGGTCCTCATAAGAACTTGCTCCTGTAAGTGTCAGGAACCATGTGAATCATAGAGAAATGAGTGGGGATAAAGGCACAGAGAAAGAGGGGATGTACGAATAATTATGCAATTAAAATCTGAGCCTAGGCAAGAAATGACAGCTTGGACTAGAGTAGTGTCATTGAGAGAAATGAATAGATTAAAGAAATATTTAGAAGATAAAAATCATCTAGTGAGGGAGATGGACTGGAAAATGCAAGGTGCTGAGAAGTGTCATAATCTCAATGGGGATATAACAGAAAAGAAGCGTCAGGAATGGAGGTGCAAGAGAAAAAATAAATGTGGTAAATCCAAGACCCAAAACTTAAATGCCAGAGGGGGAAAAGGAAAAAGGACAAAGTGGTGTAAAAAGCTGCAAAAGCCCTCTGGAATCACAGTATCACATAAAATAAAGCTGAGCTGTGAAATAACTGCTTAAAGTCACCTCACATGTGCATCATGAATTTAGTCATAAGCCCTGGAGGGAAGGAGAAGATGACAAATAAAATGGGGAACAATCCACCATTGTATTCAAGAGCATGTATATTCAGGTGCACTAATTATGAGCTGCTGAAGCAGGTTCCAAAACCAATAATTTAAAACAAAAGTCTATTTTCCCTCTTTTAAAACACAGTCTAGAACTCTCCAAAGCAATCCTTGCACATTTCTGTACACACAATCCTCATGTTCCTGAGAGCTGTCTCTAAGCAATGTTAAGTTTCTGTACAACCATTCTACAGTTGCTAAAGATGTGAAAGTTGACTCAAGTATGTAAAGGATATTAAAGAGGCAGAAAAGATAGGCTATCCTACTCCACAAATGATCATGGTAAGTAAAAGAACTTGTAAGAGTCTGAAAGTAAAGGGGTACCAAAGTGGTGATTCTTGTATATACATCTATTTATCAGTGTTATCAAGGCAGATATCAAGACAATCATTTACTTATGACAGAATCAGTCTCATCAAGAATAGAATGGAAATACAGTTTTTTTATGCTTCTACATGTTATTTTGCAAAGCGGGCAAATACTCTTATATCAAAGTGACTTAAGTAAAAGATAACTTAAAAATCCTCATAAATCCTACATTCCTGTAGTTCCTTTCCTTCATATTCTACTGTATAATATCTGTTAAAATAATAGTCTTTCCTTGTATCTTCTGTTTGACATTATAAATAATTAATGAAGAATCATGGTAAATTTTTTCCATAGTCTATTAAAAATTAAAAGCTTCCCAGGACTCTTCTTTTCTGGACAGAGGATTGGAAAGGTTAGAGACAGAAGCCCTGGCGAAAACTATTACATTGACAATGATGGACAAATCATTTTTCAAGTAGTATCAAATACTTCAATGAAGGTTTAACCATTCAAATCTCAAGAAATAATCCACCAACAGATTTTCCAGGTAAGAACAGTGTCAACATTGGTGGTAATAATAAAGTAATAATATTTACTGTTAAATAAGTCCCTCCCTAATGAAGGCAAATTTAGGAAGAATGGATGTTCAAAAAACTTATTATGTTCCTTGGAAGGGAAGAGGCAAATCTTTCTGCTAAACATGTTGAAGACAGAAAACATGGGTTAAAAAACAAGTCACTGTCCTTTAAGAGAAGCCTGACTTAGAAGAAACCAATAACCAAAGGGACCTTAGAGGTCTTTTCTTTCTTTCTCATTCATCTTCTGCAGTCTATGAGCAGCATCTGAAATTGCTGACCACCTTCTTCTTTTAAAAACTGTTGCCACTTAATGTGTCCATGATTTTGAACCTTCTAATTCTTCTTACTTCCCTGGATGAATGATGGACATAGCTATGCATTTATATTTAAAATATAAAAATGAGTAAAAATTGACCCATGATTCAGGAGATTTACAGTCTAATGGGACGGACACATAGGTGAATTAACAACCACCATGCTCTGAAAGGGCTATGTTCTCAAGAAGAGATTCAAAAATCAGCTGAAGAAGAAGGAATCAGCTAGGCCCCCAGTAGTGGAAAGAAATGTTTAGGGAGCAGCAGTAGCTACCAAAGGCGAAGGGGAATGAAAAGATCAAGACTGTATACATTAATTCTGTCAACGAGTATTTACTAAACATCTACATACTGAGCATATAACCTGGAGTTGGGTAGTCAATGGTAAGCAAAGAAAGCATGAATGTATTCCTTTACACCGAGAGCAGAAAAAGAACATTAATCAAATAAGCACACTATTGCAGGGATAATTATAGCCTGAGGAAGTGCTGACAAGATAAGGAAGATGGCTCCATTATGGTGAGAACTTATCCTCGGACTGGGAAGAGTTCTGTGAGAAATAATCCTTGAAATGGCAACAAAAAGATGAGTAAGTAGGATTTATCTAAGTAAATAAGGAAGAAATCGATTCAAGGAAGAGGGTGACAAAATGAGGCAAAAACAAACAAAAAAGGCAAGGAATAGATCATGTGAGGTCTTGAAAGCTACATAAAAGATTTCAGTCTTTATCCTGAAGTATGGTAAACCGTTGAAGAAAATGGTAGGAGACATTCAGAAGGTATAATCTACAAAACGTGACAACCTGGACTTGGAGAATGAGTGAAAGGGAGGACTTTAACATGTTTCTCAGATTCATGGCTTTGGTAATTGTATACCGTTTTGCCATTCACAAGGTAGGGCACAAAGTAGTAAAATACTTGGGGTTTTAAAAAATCTGAAAAAAAAAAAAAAGGAGTAGAGAACTGTGAGAAGGAAAGAAAGGTGAGCTCAACTTTACAGACTGAATTTGAAGCTTGTTTGATACCCAAGGGGAAATACTCAGTAGGCAATTAAGATACTCAGGGCTCAGACTGCGATGACTGAGCTCATTAGTATGCAGGTAGTAGGTAAAACCATGTGTTTTCCTGCCATCAGCCAGGAAAAGTAAATTATGGAAGACAAATATATTAAGGAAGAACACAGGGAGATTCAGAACAGAGCCCTGGGGAGTCCTCAAGGTACCACACAGAATGTCCAAGAAATTCATACGCATTGCAGGCTACTACGGTTTTCCTTCCTAACTTCTGAAATTCCAAGAGAAACATCTTACGCTTATATATTTCTCAAAGCTGACAAATATGCAGAAAACCAAACTGAAT